GTTTTAAAGCAAAAGGAAATGTCTAAATCTTAGGCTAACAAACAGGGATTCATAAACCAGATTTCCATACATCTCGAGAGAAGCTGTAGGATCTCCCTCGGCATCACAGCAGGCTACATTAAGACTTGGCTTACAATCTTTACGCAGCCTCTTTCCAATACGTCCATAAATGATGGAAACACAGGATAGCAAGCACGTGGAAAATTAGACATGAGAAATGCACAAGGGTCCCCTGTTTTGCTCTCCTCTTTTGGCAACATTCAAGCCATTAGTAAGCCACAGACACCTAATTTCCATAAAGGTTTAGGAAGAAAAGACACCGCCTTGCCAACCTGTCCAAACAATGATCTTGGTATCGGCCACGATCCCTGTGGTCAAAGTCGTGGAAGCGGTCTTGACGACTAAATTCAGAATGGTACCTATCATCCATTGCCATTCGCTTTGCCTCTGGCCAGTACGGGTCATCTCGCCTGCAAAAAAGGAGGTCAGAGTTAGTAACAATCTGAAAACAACCTTCCTTTCCTGCTCTCTTCATATCAAACCTCAATTATCCGATCAATTATTTTTGATTTATAATTAAAACCCCTTGTGTGTTAAGTGGGCATCACATTTCAGTTTCGGAGGAAGCTAGGTGTATCAACACTACACAAAAAGCATAATCTCAGCATGTGCTGATGTGAGAAGTGAGTATCTGTTCCCGCTAGCAATCCTGCTTTAGAGCTGATACACACAGTTTCTGTTCTCGGTCGCTCCTCTCTGGGAAATAAGAATTTTAAACTTGCTGTAATAAAATTGTGCTTACAGGTATATGAGTATGACATTTGCTCTCTCTCTCTCAAGATCAGTATTAAGTGTCAAAAGGAACACTTAAATAGTCTTTCAGTTGTGAGCTCCCATGACTGCTTTAGCAAGAGTACTTGCAATTTACATAGGCTTTAGAATGCTCTATCTGTAACTGCATGCGATCAAGGAGTCTGGAATCTCATCGTGGTTATTGTTACCTGCCGTCAGGATCATAAGGCCTTCTCATTGCAGATCGCCGTTCCTGTTCGTAGCGTAGCTATACCTGCTGACAAACCCTCTCGCTGGATTCGTTCCTGTTCTCGTCTCCTTTCCTGCTCTATGTGCATTCTTTCTCTCTCCAATCTCTCCCTCTCCAAGCGCTCTCTGTCAAGACGCTGCCTTTGAAATTCAAGCCGTTCTCGCTCTCTCTGGAGCCTCTGCCTTTCATCCCGCTCATGAATAGCTTGAAGACGCTGCTCTCGTTCTCGCCTCTCTCTCTCTCTAATTGGGAAAAAGAGGTATTTCATTTTCAGTTGAGAATCTTAAGTCTAAGCTTTATTGCTGCTTTGGTTTGGGTGGGGTTTCTTGTTTGCTTTTTTGTTTGTTTGGTTGGTTTTTTTAAGTTTCTACTTCTTCCCACTACCTGCTTAAATGTGAATGATCTCTTCTCAACTAAATAGCACGTGATTAGTTTAGGGAAACAAATAAAAAAAAAAGTCCATACAGAGAAGAAAGCAGCAAGGGTAAGCATTCCGCGTAAGTAACACGGTATCTACTGAAAGTCAGCTCTGAAAAAGCTTTCACAGAGCACAGCATGTCTTCAGTCTGACAAACAGAAGTATTTACAAGCTTCCAGGGGAAAAATGGAGTATAGAAATTCAAATCTGATCAAGAGGAACGTGAGACCTGAAAGCATCTACAAAAGTTATTATTGAACAAGAGTCTCCCAAAAAGCATAGGCTTAGAGAAGATCAATTAGAGTAGTAAAAACCTTCATAATTTGTCATTGTGCCTGTTCTATCAATAGATCAGTAT